ATAGGTAACTTGATTGACTACATGACTGCAGACAACATTTTTTTTTTGACTGAGAGTTAAATATTAAAAATTCTTTTAACACAAAGTTCTTTTAGTTCAAATAAAGGTAAACCTAGAAGTGGCAGTCGTGTTCTTTACTATCCTTAAGTCTGTTGGTTCACTGAAAAAAGCAGTAGGTGAGTATATAGAGCAAAACTTCAGAGTGAAAATATATATGCAATTGAGTTTTGCATTTAAAGATTATACAAACATGCCAAAACTATTAGCTCTTCTCTTGCAGCAGTAGAAAGGCTTATTTCAGTGGCTTCTGGCCAGGTTAGTTCACAGTCAGTCCAGGGAGAGACTAGCCAGGACTATCTCCTGCCAACAAGCCCCAGTCCAGCATCCTAATAAACTGTGACAGCTGCTACTTGAAAATGACAGGGTTGCATTATACCAAAAACAATGAGGGAATACAAAATCTGTTGCAAAGACCCCAAGAAATGTATAGCATCCAGAAGCTGCTGCTCAGGAGCAAGCATTTTGATGGCAACTTCTTTAATTAAAGTACAGGCCTTCCATTTAGTGCTGCTATTACGATGCCAAAAATCTTCCCTAGGAGACTTGTGCAGTTTGAAAGGGCTGAGGAAAATGAAAATTTTAACGCATTGTGCATTTGTCATCTGAAATCATCTGTGCTCTCAGAGCCGGTTGCCAATATAATTCCCAAAAAGAGGCAGGTCCTCTGCGCACGTTATGGTCTCATTGCTAGGTTATTGCCCAGGAGATACTCACTAGAGCAGGTCTTACTGATAAGTGACAGAGGTACACAATAACAGAAACTAAAAATAACATACCAATGGTTTTGTTATTGATGGTGATCTACTTAATTACCTGATGGATACAACCGCTTATCAAACCAAATTACAGAATTGGTAATAAGAGAAACTGTGCTCTCAGAGCCGGTTGCCAATATAATTCCCAAAAAGAGGCAGGTCCTCTGCGCACGTTATGGTCTTATTGCTAGGTTATTACCCAGAAAATACTCACTAGAGCAGGTCTTACTGATAAGTGACAGAGGTACACAATAACAGAAACTAAAAATAATAAACCAATGGTTTTGTTGTTGATGTTGATCTGCTCAATTACCTGATGGATACAACAGCTTATCAAACCAAATTATAGAATTAGTAATAAGAGAAATAGATTTGGGACTTTTTTTTTTTTTTTAGTTCTATTTGAGTAATTCACATTCTGATGAGTCCAAGGTCCCAAATCATGTTCTAACCAAGACAGCTGACTGACCTTCCTGGTGGATGACATCAGCATTTACTGAATGTAGCATCTAGTTTGGTCTTTCAGCCTTTCCAAGGGAAGTCATCCAGTGCAAAAGGCCACGTTCTTTGGTTCAGTGTAATAAAATAGGGTTTTATCCATGCCCTGCTAAAGATCTGCATATCGTAGTTGTTTTGCTTATCCCTAAAACCTCAACACCTTTTCAAAGCCTAAGGAAAACACAACAGTTAAAAAATAGTCAGTGTTTTGAATGTAAATTTTACATTTTAACTCTGGAAAATATACTGAATAATTAAATAATAGTTTGCTATTCACTTTTAGAAATTCAGTAAAAGATCTATACTATTCATGTTCTGCATGCACAGCACATGCATGTGTTAATGTATATGCATACACTAAGAAAACGAAAAGACTGATAGTTCTTCTTCAAAACCTATGTTTCTAATTCTAAGAGTAGAACTTTCTATGCAGATACACCTGTCTCCAGTCTAAAACTTTGATCCTGCTTTGTTTAAAGGATTCCATAAGAAACAAATATTTTACTTCTTATTCCCCATGCCCTTCAGCATTTAGTTATTTTGCACTGTAGAATGCAATGTAGAATGCACTGTAGCACATTCTGACATGTAGAAAAAAGACAATATTTTATGCACTAGTTTTCTAAACAAATCTATTCAGAAACAAGAGCAGTGAGAAGAGTCATCCCTGTTGCTCCTACTGCATATAAACCTAAGTCTCTGGCATGAAAACCTATATTTATAATCCAAAGAAACAAACAGGGATTGTCTGATATTCTACAGGAAGTCAAGAAGTCCCAAGTTTAGATCATGGATAACATCCTTCTTTAATAAACAACCACTGTTTCTTTGGCCTATCAAATCTGTCAGAGGTGCCTACATAGGCTTCCTGCATCTCTTTATTCTGAAATAAGAACTGAGATTGAGGTTGAAACTGCATTGTCAGAATAACAACCAAACCTGCATCTCATTTATAAATTCTTTGTTGGTGCATTGTATTAATCGGAACTGTGGAATTTCCAACCATTATGAGTATCTTTGGCACTGCTTTGGTGTGAACCCTTCTCCAACTAACTGCTAGGTCAACAGTAAGGAAAGCTCATGGACATTTTGTGTCCACCAGTCTGCAGGACACCCTGGATGTGAGTTGTGTCTCAGGTAACAGCTGCCTCAAGACTCTCTGCACCTATGAAAGGTTGAATCCATTGAAGTCATTTCCCCACTGACTTGAAACGTGTAGAATACATGTGAACTGCTTTGGTGACTTTCATTCAACTTTATGCCTCAATTCCTTGTTTTTGCTCTATGATTTTTAGGCATTTCTAGGAAAAACACAACTCCTTGTCTCCTTCAGCTTTATTACAGGTAAACTTTTCCATTTCCATCCTTAACACTTTCATGCTACGGTAATAATGTCTAGGCTTGGAATGTGGCTTTAACTGTCAGTCCCCAGTTAAAGCTAGGCCAGCAAGGACCATCACTGAGATATGGGCTATGTCAGAACCTATCTGCGGGGTAAACTCATGAGACCTGAATATTTGCATCATCATTCATAAAATCCGCACACCAGCCACAGCACATTTATTTTCCATTAGGTTAATATGTAAAAAGTAGAGTCCAATTTGGTGATGATGTCTTGTAAACCACAGACAGATGATTTCTAACTAAATAATTTGCCATAGAGAATTTCAGAAAAAAAAAAGAAAAAAGAAAAAAAGTTGAAATATTGCAAAGGATGTTTTAGGATATTGGTGACTAGGCGCCTCCCGGCGGCCAGGAGGCGGGGCCTAGTCCTCCCGTGCAGCCAATCAAGCGCAGCCGCAGCCCTGCAGGGCGGGCAGCGGGCTGTCACTCACGTGACGTCAGGCGGAGCCAAAGGGCGTGAGGGGCGGGAGTGGTCACGAGCGCCGCGGGCGAATCAGAGCGCCGCTTCGCGCGCGCATGCGCCTCAGCTCTCCTGCCCCGCGCTCAGCCGTTAACGGCCGCGCGTGGCTGAGGCGCTAGTGCCCCGCGCGGGGGAACTGCAGCCCAAAGAGCCGCCTTGGCTTCGCGCCATTAGCGGCGCCTTTACTCCCGTATTCTCCCAGAGGCTGCTGCTCTCCCAGAGAATGAGCAAGCACGCTGAGGTAACGGGTGGCCTTCCTGCACCCACGCTGCTCCCATCGCGGGGAGGCCTTTCCCTGAGCACCCTGGTGGCGCTGTGGCTTCCTCCAGTTGGATTTGGTGAAAACGTTATAATAAGCAGTCATTGCGGCTCTTGGGTGGCCTGTGGCTTTGAGTGGTTTTCCAAGCTTGTTTCCGTTAACCCTGTGGCCTTTGCTTAAAAAGGAACTATGAAAGAAATTCTGGCAATATTTGGTTCAGAGTTTAAGTTCTGCAAGCAAATGGAAATGAGAAAGTAAAAATATTTCAGACAGCACTACTTGCAGTGTGGCATTCTGTAGGTTTGCATTCATGCAGTTTGTAGAAAATGCGTTTATGCTCTTGCAATTCTATTTGTGTTGCTGCTTAAAAAAAAATAAGGTGAACTGGCGTCTTCTGTTGTAGGCTAACAAAATGTTTGCACTTCTTGAAGCAAGTCCTTAACACAGCCTTACTGTTGGAATAATCATTTAGTCTGCATGTGCCTGCCCTTACCTTTTGGATAACAGTACCTGTATGCTGCATGAAGATAGTGTGTTCTGCTTCGAAAGTTTGCAGATGCTCAACTTCTTTAAACAGCTGTGGCAGAAGACATAGAAACAATCTACTTGCAACCCATATTTCAAATTTTCCATTATGAGTTTAAGGTGATTCAGTTTGTGGCACCTGCAAATCCTTCCTAGTGAGTCATACTAGCTTTGATCTGTGTTGCCAGTACTGCATTTCTAGGTGAAATTCGAAGTATGGTGCTGACCAGTGGAGTCCTGCTTAGCTTGGTATCTTCCTAGAGAAGCGACCCTGAGCAATACCTCTGTAGCCAAAAAGTGATGGATATTTAGATTTCTGGTGTTATTTCTCTGCATGTATATGTGTG